CCCCCTTCCCACCCCGGTAATTCATTCTGACTTCTTCTTTCTAAATTACAAGACCTATTGTTGTTTGTTGTCAGTATGGCATCTTTGGCCATTAGGAAGTCTTCACTAAGTCAGATATACAGGTTTAGAATAGTTTTATTGTCATTGATATTGCTAGGTATTTTCTGGATGATCATTGTTCAGTATTTTCATCTAAGAACCCCGTCGATTTTTACACGAACAAACAATGGCGAAGCACAATTACATATCATTCAATTTACAGAAAAATTGGGTCACCATAACCCAAGCAAGGATCAGAAAGAATATGTTTTTGTCGAGTCGAATCGAGCCATTGGGATCGACATTTATAAAAGGTTTCATCATTTAATCGAAATTTTGGACTCTTTTCGTCAGTACGATGGAGCGACTTGCCATGCTTTCAAAAGAGGTCCAAGCCAAGATCATGTCCCTAAACTGAAAACATGTTGGTTCGAGACAAGAAATTGGACAATGTTAACTTCTGGTCCAAATAGCAGTAAATATCACAGATTTGGAGAGCAAACTCGGCCTTGGCTGTTGTTACGTTAAGCTGTATAACGAGTAAACACTATTTGGGCCTCTAAACGGGTGTTTAATYTTAGATAACTACAAACATGGCGGACTACACAAAGGCACCCAATTCCCACAGGGATCCCATCTCTAACACAGGAATCCCACTACCGTTACATCCCCCTTTTTTTTACAATGTGTTAACTCAAGTTACAAACAAACAAGAACTAAAGTTTTTCAAAGTCAATGTTTAACAAAGTCACTGAGATACGCCGGCTGGCGAACAGTACGTCCACTTCTTGTCTTGATGTGTTCATCAGCAACATAAGTAGCAATCGTCGGGGCTACCTCCTTGGTTTCGTCTGGAGCTGCTGGGGCCGCTGTTGTACCGGTACCGCTGGGTACCGATTCAGGCTGAGGTTGTCGTTGAGGAATCTTTGGTGGATCTGGGAGCACAGTGTCGTTGTAATCCTCTGCTGTTTTATGGAGGTCTTTTCTGTTTCGTCGGAAAGCTCTTCCATCCTCTGTCGTGACTTTATAAGACCTGATATCCACTTGCTTCTCAACCTTGGCTTTGACAAACTTCTTGTCTGACTCTTTAGGTTTTACTCTTACCACATCACCTTCCTTGAGAGGTTGCAGTTCTTTTGCAGTCTTATCATAGTAGAATGCTTGTTTAGCTTGGTTGGCATTCTGTGACTGTTGTACCCCTGTTGGTATCTYYGGACGAAGTAATTTGTTTGACATGGGTAGGAGTGTTCTGGTTCGTCGATTTAGCATTCGTTGTGCTGGTGAGGTCGCATATCCTTCGGTTGGTGTATTCCGGAAATCGAGGAGCGCTAGGTAAGGATCAGCATGTGCATCTAGTGCTTTCTGCATGATTTGCTTGACAGTTTTCACACTATTCTCCACTTTGCCGTTTGATTGAGCATATGTTGGCGAGCTTGTAAAGTGCTCAATGTTGTAGCTATCAGTGAATTGCTTGAATTCTTTACTCGTGAAATTTGGACCATTGTCTGACATAAGCTTATTTGGTATGCCATATCTTGCGATGTGTGCTTTCAGCTTCGTAATAACTTCTGAACTTGTCTTGGAGTGTAGTCTGTCCACTTCGAAGAAGTTGGAATACCGATCTGTAGTTACTAGGTAGTCCTTTCCGTGGAAGACAAAAAGGTCGGCCACTATACTTTCCCRGGCTCTAGATGGACATTCATGACTTATGAGTGGCTCTCTTCTTTGCTCAGTCTTGTAACTGTTGCATACATCACATTTAGACATGAACTCAGCGACCTGCTCATTCATGTGGGGCCAGTAGAATGCCTCCCGTGCTCTCCTCAGGGAGCCCTGTACTCCGAGGTGACTAGCATGAAGTTTGTTGATCATCGTGTTGCGCAGTGCTGCAGGTATGACCACACGCTCTCCCTTGAAGATTACTCCGTTCTGGATGGTCAACTCCTCTCGAAAGTTGTAGTAGCACTGGAGCTGTGGCTTTATCCTATCTTTACGGTCAGGCCAGCCATCTTTGATGATTGTTGCCAGGGCTTGTAGATCTGGGTCTGACTCTGTATATTTCTGGATCTCTTGAATTGTAGCATCCCTGAGGGGCAGGTAGCTTAACATATCAATTTCCTCTGCATCTTGTTCTGTTCTGGATCGGTCAATGTTCATGACATCTTGAACGTCATGTTCCTGTGTTACCTTACTGTTATTCAGATAGGCGCGACTGAGTGTGTCGGCCATATACATTTCTGCTCCTCTCTTGTAGACTACTGTTAGATTGTATCTCTGTAGGCGTAATAGCATGCGTTGCAGTCTCTTTGGGGCGCTTAGGAGACTTTTCTTCACAATGGACTCAAGTGGTTTGTGATCTGTCTGAACCACAACATGGCGACCGTATAAGTATTCGGAAAATTTTTCCATTCCAAAGACGACTGACAGTAACTCCTTCTCGATTTGAGCATAGTTCTTTTCAGTAGGCGTTAGAGCTCTTGATGCGTAAGCAAMTGGATGTCTGTCTTGCATTAAACATGCTCCTAGTCCATCTTTGGATGCGTCGCATTGCAGAACTGACTGCTTGTCTTGACTGAAATACTTGAGAACTGGAGCTTTTGTCAGGATTGATTTGACCTTGTCTAGAGCTTTGTCGTGATTTTGATCCCATACAAAGGCATTCTCTTTCTTTAGAAGGTCTCTTAATGGTTTGGTCGCATCAGCTAGTCCCGGTGCAAATCGCTGAACATAATTTGCCATCCCAAGGAGTCTCTGCACTCCCTCTTTATCTGTAGGTGTGGGCATGCTGACTATGGCTTCGATCTTGTTGGGATCCGCTTGTAGACCTTTTGACGAGATTACATGGCCCATGTAGGCCACCCTTTGTTGTTTGAATTGCATCTTCTCTTTGTTGAGCTTCACACCCTTTTGACGGCACCTTTCAAGTACTGCTTGGAGTCTTTCATCATGGCTCTTTTCTGCGGCTTCCTGAGTAGGTCCAGTGCCAAAGACTAGAATGTCGTCGGCGATAGCTTTAGCCCCATCTAGGCCCTCTAGTGCGATGTCCATCCTCCTTTGGAACTCTTCTGGCGTGGACGTAATGCCGAATGGCATTCGAAGCCAGCGGTATCTTCCCCATGGTGTGCTGAACGTTGTAAGGTAGCTGCTGGGATCGTCTAACGGTATGTGCCAGAAACCATTTTTCGCATCTAGGACTGTGAACACACGTGCTCCTGTCAGCGTCGGCAGAACATCTTCTATCGTCGGCAGTGGATAGTGGTTTCTTTTGAGAGCGCTGTTCAGCGGCTTTGGGTCTATGCACAAACGAACATTGCCATTGCGTTTGGTTGTCACCACTAGGGAACTGACCCAGTCGGTAGGCTCTTCTACTTTCGTGATTATTTCTAGGTTGGATAACCGTTCTAACTCTGCTTGTAGTTTATCTTTAACTGCGAGTGGCACACGTCTTGGCGGCAGCTGTACAGGTTGAACTGTCTCATCAAGCTCCAGGTGTAATGGGCCCTCTAACTTTCCTTCGCCTTTAAAGACATCTGCGTAAGCGCTAGTTATATCTTGTGTTGACAAGCCTTGCCTGTTTACGGGGTCTGACGAGACTAGTGATATGTTATGACGATTCACTGTCAACAAATCCAGTTCTTCACACGTGGTCAATCCTAGAATAGACTTACACTGTCCTTTGACAATCACAAATTCCACTGTGTACTGGTTGTTGTTGGTTGGGTTAAGGACACACAGCTTCTTCTTTCCCAACGGCTTTACCTCGGACCTGTTGTACATTATCAGTGTTGTATTACAGCTTTCAAGTTGGTTGACATTTCCACATAATTTTGCTGAGTATATGGTCAGACATGACATTTACTSTTGCTCCGCTGTCCAATTGAAAGCGTACTTCAGTGTTGTTTACTACAAGTGTCACAAAGACTTGGTTTGGGTGAGACCGATACGTTACTACATCAATTGATTCCTTTTCCTCAAGGGTTAATACATCATCGTCAGAGCTATCCTGGTCTACCATACTGACTTGTCTTGTAATGCTTCTTGACTTGCTTGTGGATTTGCAGACTGCTGCAAAATGGTTTGGCTTGTGACATGAGGAACACTTTTTCCCCCATGCCGGACACTGCTCTCGATCTTTTGCATGTTTCTTGCCACAAAACATACACTGAATTTCTTTGCTGCTCTCGTCATGTGTGGATCTCCGTTGTTTAGCAGCGTTCTGTTGCTTGGCTGGTTTGGGAAATCTCGAAGATACTGCACTCACTTCCTGTTGTGTCTTGGTTTTCATCTGGTTAGAGGTAGACTCATGTGTTCGACATATATCGATACACTCTTTCAGTGTGAGCTTCGGCATATTGAGCAGCTTTTTCCTTGTTGCAGTATCRCGGATTCCAATAACAATCCTGTCTCTCAATAGGTCGTCCTGCAGCTGACCAAAATTACAAGTCTTAGCCAGTGTTTTTAATGCGGTAACGTAAGCATCGACCGTTTCTCCCTCTTGTTGGGTTCTCATGTTGAAGTTGTATCGTTCAAATGTCTCATTTCGCTGACCGATGCAATATTCTTCAAATTTGGCGATAACTTGATCAATATCATTTTTATCCGAGTCGTCTTCAAACTTGAATCCCTCATAAATATCCAATGCATCTGAGTCAAGACAAGTTAAAAAAGTAGCTGTTCTAAGTACTTTGTTTTCATCAGGCTTAGCTGGATCTTTTAATCTAGCAGCGATCTCATAGTTTCGCCAGGCTCGAATGAATCTTTTCCAATTTGTTGCAAGGTTACCTGATACTTCTAGTGTGGATGGCAAGGGAATATTCGTAGGCATAGACATAATAACTGGTTATTGTAGCGTAGCACTACTACTGCTCGGTTGACTTTCGTTTTCCGACATATAAACAAAATATTATGCAGCTAAAATCGTATAGCACTGTCAATAGGAACAATCTTACTTGTTTTCGACCTCTTATCTGTGTCGTTCTCGTAGAAGAGTTGGAGTTTTGTGCCGTGTCTTCGTTTGCTGGCCACGTGCGATTCGTAAAAGAAACCACTTTGGCTTGTTTAAGCTTGAAATTTCGCTTGTAAATTTGTAGTAGATCTTGGAGGCCACCACTAAATATCTTCTGACACCATGTTACGTTAAGCTGTATAACGAGTAAACACTATTTGGGCCTCTAAACGGGTGTTTAATCTTAGATAACTACAAACATGGCGGACTACACAAAGGCACCCAATTCCCACAGGGATCCCATCTCTAACACAGGAATCCCACTACCGTTACAGCTGTGGATTTGTAACATGGTGGAATTTCCTTTTGTCATTAGACAAAGCGTGTTCAACCGCATAGGCCTGAACCAATCCTACGGTGAAGCTATGCTATTGGACTTCTTTCTACGATCAAATGGAACGTTAAAAATTGCAGTATCACATAGATGTATTTTTTCTAAAAGCCAATCGATAGACAAACAATCATCTGGGACTAAACGCCAAGTGAATATGGATTACGGCCTTCTAGGACATAATCACAATATTCTGCGAATTGTGAGACAAGACTCGATTACTTGGACCAAATGCTCGTCAAATAATTCTTCTTGTCCTGACATCCCAGAAGAGCAGAATAAAGTAGACAACATTCTGTTGCCGTATTGTTGTAAGACCGCGTTAAATCAGATCTTGATGCATACCGTCGATGCATTGAATCAAATAGGGACCGGGTATCGTGTGTGCTTTGGCACATTACTGGGAGCCATTCGATCGAAAACTATAATCCCGTGGACGCAAGATGTAGACATTTGCTTAAAGTCTGAACACTTTACAACACAAACATTTGAAAAACTAAAGGAGTTATTATTGCCAAGTAACTTTTCATTGGCATTTCTTGAAAGCATGCATCGTGTAGTTCCTCTTAACGCTTTTGTTAAACATTTATCCAACCATTCTCTTGTAACCGAGTCAGACCTGTTTAGTGAGCAAGCTCTTCAGTTCATGCAAGAAATGCTTCCAGTTCCTGCCCCTTTGTGGTTACGCTTTACATATGCTGACTTATATAAATATGACAAACTCTTCAAGAACAACGCAATAAACGTTACTATAGATGGCTTAGAATACTGCTCTGGAGATAAACCCCATGAATTACTGCGTGAATGGTTTGGTAGTAAGTATATGTCGACCGATGAAAACGATAGGGCTACTTCTCCTACACTTTAAGAGGCTATGTCTGTAAAAATCAAACATCTAGCGCCCAAGTT